AGCTTTTATAGGTCCTGAGATGAAAGTGCGTGACAGACGCACACACAGACACACAGACACGCAGACACACAGACACACAGACACACGGGCACACAGACAACCTCTCGTCAATATGCGTTTTTCGCATTACATTGCTGCAAAAAACGCATAAAAGCCATAAGTATATACCTTCCTTACACGGGTGGATAAAGTTGCTGGCACTGTTGACAAACGGCTGACGTCACGAAGCTTGAATTGCAATGACTGCATCTGTATGGCTTTTCACCAGTGTGCTTGACAAGAAAAGTATTTGCATTATGAATTAAACAGAGGACAACGACTGCCACACACATCGATACATAAAGACGCAAATACTCCTTGTAAAACAACTTTTAGAGAATAGTTCTCGCAGGAATATAAGCGACTACTCGGATGGCTTCCATAGAGACTGCACATGTACATCGAAAGGGCGCAGGGGGCTAATGAGGGCTTGAAGCTCAGGATCGAGGGGCCTGGCATAGCTGCATCATGTGAGAGCACACAAATAATATCACTGAAATGAATAACCAACACTGATACCCAAACTGTTTTAGTAGTGTTAGCGATTGCGTTCTCCTGGCTTGAAAAAGGACTTATTCAAGACTGCCCGAGAAGCAGCATTTGATCATCTTTACAAAGTAGAATTTGAATTTTTATGGTTTTTCTCTCTGTGGTTTTTTTGGTGTTCTGGTGCCGAATTAAGGTGGTTTGGTCACTCACCTCTCAAGAACAGCACTTGATTTCTCATCAGTATGAGTTCGGATGTATGTTCGCAAGTATCCTTTCCGACCGAAGCTCGAATTGCACTAATTGCGTTTGAACGGCTTCTCACCATCATGGGTTCGAATGTACATTTGCAAGTCTTTCTTCAAGCCGAAGTTCGAATTGCACAGTTCGCATTTGAACGGCTTCTCACCGGTATGAGTTAGCGTGTGTGTTTGCAAATTTATTTTCTGCCCGAAGCTCGAACTGCAGTGATCACATCTGAACGACTTCTCACCAGTATGAGTTAGCATGTGTGTTTGCATGTGTGCTTTCCGGCCGAAGCTCGAATTGCAGTGACCGCATTTGAACTTCTTTTCAGTATGAACTCTGCAATGCATCCGTAAATATTCCAGATTTCCGAAACTCTTATCGCATTGTATGCAGTTGTATGGCTTCTCGCCAGTATGCATCCTTAAGCGAATCTTCAACGGTGAAGTAGCAGAAAAGATTTTACCACAGTAACTGTATATGAATGAGCGTCTGCCGCCGCAAGTTCTGTTTTGGCTGTGACCAGCATATTCATTGCTCTCATATTTGACTATCAGTGCAGGCTGCTGTATCGTCCTGTGTTTGATTCTTCAACTCGATTGGGCTCGCAAGTTGAAAAATTGTTGAAAAGCAGTAACCTTTTTATGCGTTTTTGCCTATACGCAAATTGCAAAAACGCGTATTGGGACGACCCTG